AATCAGAGTACAAATTATGAGTAACTGTATTCAGTTACAGTTACTGTTTCAGTGAGTGGGAATTGGATTACAGTTACTTTGTTGAAATAAATGGATTACACAGAGGGATTTTTGACAGTTTTTTCAGGATTGGACTTCAGGATTTTTACTTTTCACACAGGACTTCAGGACCAGGCTAAACCAGGACTAGGACTAAAAACAGGACTAAAGGACTAGGACTAAAACTCAGGACTAAAAGGACTAAATCAGGACTCTAAACCAGGACTAAAACCAGGACTAAAATCAGGACTAAAATCAGGACTAAACCAGGACTAAAATCAGGACTAAACCAGGACTAAAATCAGGTCTAAAACTAGGACTAAAACCAGGACTAAACCAGGACTAAAATCAGGACTAAACCAGGACTAAAATCAGGACTAAAACTAGGTCTAAAACTAGGACTAAAACCAGGACTAAACCAGGACTAAAATTAGGACTAAAACTAGGACTAAAATCAGGACTAAAACTAGGACTAAAACTAGGTCTAAACCAGGTCTAAACCAGGACTAAACCATAACTAAAACCAGGACTAAAACTAGGACTAAAATTAGGACTAAACCAGGACTAAAACCAGGACTAAAACTAGGTCTAAACCAGGACTAAACCAGGACTAAATTCAGGACTAAAACCAGGACTAAAACTAGGACTAAAATCAGGACTAAAACTAGGTCTAAACCAGGTCTAAAACCAGGACTAAATTCAGGACTAAAACTAGGACTAAACCAGGACTAAACCAGGACTAAATTCAGGACTAAAACTAGGACTAAAACTAAGTCTAAACCAGGACTAAATTCAGGACTAAAACTAGGTCTAAACCAGAACTAACCCAGGTTTAAACAATATGACAATAAGATGGACATAAGTTAAGGCAGCAGTGATCTCATATAAAAATCATTTCTCTATCAAAAATATTTCAATATGTTTAAGTAAAGACTGGACTTTTTATTTTCTTTTAGCAGATAAAACAAAACATCTTATGTTAAAATCCTCGTCTTTGTTTCTTTACAGTAAAACAAAAGTCTGTTCATGGAGACTTGGGCTCAACAGACAATTTGAAGAAAACAAACATGAATTTTCAGGATGTGGTTGTTACATTCATGTAGTTTTAAAAAGCACGACAATATCAAGTAATCCAAAGTATTCAGATTACGTTACTCACTTTAAGTAATTTAATGGATTAATGTTACAAACTACATTTTGTGTGTGTAATCTGTAGGGATTTTAAAAGCATTTGATTTACGTCTGAGAGAAATGAGAGACATAGTGGACTGATATCACATGCAACGTTTCATGCAATGCAAGGTTCAAACATTCTATCAATACAGACATTTACTGTATTTTTTGGACTATGTAGTGGACCAAACAGAAAGGCAAAGACAAGGTATAAAAATAAGTTTAATAAAGCCAAAAAAGATATAATTTAACAAAGGCTCAAATTAGGCAAATTATTAACAAAAAAGCTGGGCCCAACTGGGGTAACTCAAAATCAAACTGAACAGAACAAAACTAACCCAACCAGACAAAGGAACAGGTGTGTTTAAATACCTGAGGACCAACTAAAGCTAAACACAAGAGGGAGGAATTACACTAATTAACTAACTAAACCAATAACTTAATCAAAGTAAACAAAAAAGCAAATAATTATAATACAGAAAATAATAAGTGATAATAACGTGACCTTAACACAAACTAAACAAATTAACTTAGTAAAACAAACTAAATAGTGCTCCCCCCCTTTGCTGAGTCCTGATGGTCTCTCCCAGGGTCCGCCCTCCGTCCGGTGCTCAAAAAAAACAAAAAAGAACAAGTGTAAGTAAATTAGACTTATATTAACTAAAATGCGTGCACTCAAATTATAACATAAGTCTAAATAACGGAATTAAATTATGTGTAGTGTAATTAACTTAATGTAAATAATAATGAAAATTAAATAATACTGACACTATGGAGTGGTGGCAGAGGGATCCACCACAGACTATAAATCGCTCTTTTTTTAATGGTTTGGGTGTTTCCTGCAAATTATACTTCAGTGTGACTTATATATTCAAATTTTCACACTGAAGCGTCGAGAGGTTCTAGTCTTGTGTGTCAGTATCTGCTGCTTCTATTACTCCACCCAAAACATGCTCCAGGTCCATGAACAGTTGATGGTCAAGGTCAGTTAAATACGATCAGTTCAATCATTGTGTCCTTAGGCAAGACACTTCACCCACATTGTCTAGTATGAAAGTGGTGTGTGTGAGTGATGGTGGTGGTCGGAGGGACCGATGGCAGCCGCGCTTCTGTCACTGTGCCCCAGGGCAGCTGTGGCTACAATAGTAACTTTCCATCACCAGGTATAGAGTGAATGAATAATGCTGAATAATAAAAGTGTCTGTAAAGCGTCTTTGGGGACAAAAAATGTCTGTGAAAAGCGCTATATAAATAAAGACTTACTTACTTACTCCTGAACCACTGTCACTGTGTGCTCTACTGCACATGTCTCCTGCAGAAAGAGCCTCTGTAGTAAAATATGCAGCCGAAACCGGTAATCGAGCAGCAGAAAGAAAGTTCGGAGTGAACGAGAAACTTGTGAGGGACTGGCAGAAAGGAAAGCTGGGATGGAGAACACAGCTTCACGGAGAACCGGGAGGACGCACCACGAAACTTTCCTGGAAGTCTTTGGATGGATGGACAAAACCTGGACTCCAGTGACACCGAAAACATCCTGTCGGGATTCAGAAAGGCCGGAATAATTCTGGAACTGATGCCGAATCTGACGACAGCTACGCAGAAGAGGAAGCGGCGCTCTGTTTACCTCCGGTGTTGTTCCGAAGTGACACCGAGGATGAACCGCTACAGATACAAGGACTGGATGGAATATTTATAAAAATGTCTCCGCACGTCTCCAACACTCTGGCTCACGAGGAAATGAGGTCCTATGTCCAAAATTCTGGACTGTCCCTTTGAGGATATGTTTGGACCAAAGTTTGCAATGAAGTGGCTCTGTTTTTCTCTTTTTTAAGACTAAAAATTAAGTTTAAACCACAATTATTATTAGAATTTTTCCAATTTTCTTGAGCAAATTATTCAAGTTTTCAAACAAGAAGCATTATTACGCCCATTTTTGCTCTATTTTACGTGCAGAATTGTAGAGTACGTCGTGTTTGTCAGTTACAGGCGTTAGTTCCTCGAGGTCTGTTTCTAATGGAGCCTGGAGAGTGAAAAGCTCTAAGACTCCAGCGTGTGAGGTGAAGTGGTCAGGCCCCATCTCCTCCTCCTCCTCCTCCTCCTCCTCCTCCGCTGAGTTTGGACGCGGCCGCTGCTCCGTCTGCTCTTTTTCCAATTCCTCCTTTTGCCATAACAGACAATTATAATCCTCCGCTCAAATGTGCAGCGAAGAAGAATCAAAATAATCCCGACTATTAAAATAATCATCATCACATTTTGATATTCCGTTTTGTTATCTGGACCAAACACATGTCAAACAAACCCCGCGTGTTTAAAATGACTTCTTCTCTCAAACTGAAAACACTTGTTGCGCCTTGTGATGTAATGCTGTAATACAAGAAGTGCTCCACTGTGTTTTTAAACTCCATACACCTTCACTAGAATCATTTGGATGATTTTCGACCTGGGTCTTCAGTGAACGAAAGGTAAAAGGAGCTGTTAACATGAAAACTACTTCTTCTCGATATCACAATGTGGAACAGAGCATTTAGAGCTGTGGAGATTGACTAATAATAAAGAGTTTCTCAAACATGTGAATGAAACAAAATACAAGTCCAGGTCTGTTCTTGAACAGGTAACAACATGGTTTTAAAGCAGCTTAGAAGATAAAACAAGTACTTTCTTCATTATTTGTCTCCAACACCAAAATGAAAAAATGGAAAAATGATTAATTTTTTTCAGTTTTCGATTTTGTGTTTAAATGAATAATGGAAAAAACAGATAATGGCCGTTTCCCGTTTACGTGACTTAAACTGTGATGCCGGACTTTTGCGCCGCATACAGACTGAACCAGGACTATACCAGGTTCGGGACTGAGACTGGGGCTGAGACCGGGACCAGACCGGGACCAAGACCAGGACTGAAAACAGTTCAGTCCTGTTTCAGTCCGGCATCAAATTTTAAGTCACGTAAACGGGACACGTCCATTATCCGTTTTTTCCATTCTTCATTTAAACACAAAATCGAAAAAATGAGATGCATATCATGACAATATCATATCATGACATTTGGATATCGTTACATCCCTGTTATAAGAGTCACTTTTGCCTAATGTAGAACCTTTAAATCAAATCAAAATGTCAGAAAAGAATAAGAAAAAGAAGTATTACTTATTTTACTTTACAATACATTTGGATTGAACAAAAACGGGTTACAGGTTGGTGAGTTATGTCTCTTACAGTTCCAAAAAGCAGGAAACAAAAATATGAAATCTAATTTTATTTTAAATTGTGAGGTCAAAATTTGGACACTGAATCAAGAAATGTATTTATATATTCAAAATGATATTAAAATCTAGGGATCTAACAGTAAACGAAATATCGTGATATCGTATCGTCCAAAGTCTCACAATAATATCATGGATCATCACAATATATTCAATTACAAGTCTCTTTGCTTAAATCCATGGTTTTATAGCAGCAACATCTTATACACATAAAGAACTACATGTCCCATGATTCATTTCAGCTCAGACAACATGAAGAAATATGTTTTTTACTTGAATTTTTGGGATTATGATGGAAATAATTCACACCAAAATCTTGTCCAAGGTATTTTAAAAGCAAAAAAGTGTCACATCTACAATTATATCAGCAAAATATCGCAATAAATATCGTACCGTGAGATTTGGATATCGTTACATCCTTGTTAAAATCTCGTCTTTCTTCGTTCTTGTGGACCCAATCTAAACTAAACTAAACTAAATCATACGTAACATTCCTGACGTGTTTATTTTTTCTTTGTGTTTCCAGCTGGAGGCGGAGTTAGCCCTCTGTGAGCGGGAGGGGGCGGAGCTACAGGAGTACGCCAACCAGGTCCTGCAGCAGATCGCCGACCGCTGCCCCGACATCCTGGAGCAGGTGGTGAACGCTCTGGAGGACAGCAGCTGACCCAAACACCGGGCGCCCACGGACATTTGACCCGAAAAAAACAACTGACCCCCCAACCAAATATCTGACCCAGCCTGGACACTCGCCGCTTCACTGCACCACGAAAAACACCTGGTTTATTGGTTGAAATGGCTTGAATTTGGTTTTAATCTTGATTAGAATTTAAATTGATTTAAGTTTTAAGTAGTTTTATTGCCAGAGAACAGAATTAACAACTAAGAAGAATAAACAGAATCATAATATAAGCTGTAATAAAAAAAAAAATCAGGCATGCATAAAAAATAAGGTAGATAAAAATAAAAGAAAAGACTTTAATTTTTAAAATAGTTCAGTGGACTTCACTAATAACAGATACTTCTCACAGTAAAGTCCTCGGGTGTGTTAGTCTCAGTGTAGTTAACTCCTCCCCTCAGACGGAAATAAAGCCCAATTTACGGTCCAGCGTCAAATCGTTTGTGTCGATGTGAACTAGAGGTTTGCGCGGGACCACTCCTGCCCGCACTCACACTGTGCAGTCCCACTCCCGCAAGGAATTGTAATTTTAAGTCCTGCTCCCGTCAGCATTTACAATATTTTGTCTCGCTCCCGCCCGCAAATCCCGCAAGATGAGGACGTTCGCTTTCTTAAGATCTAAACACAGAGAAACGGAAAGGAATTGTCTAAAATGTGCGCAAGATTAGACCACGTCCAGTTTTCACGTCAAGCTTAGGCTGCTTAGAATGTTTTTATTAATGCCAAATAAAATATTCCAGCACAAATGATGTATGATAGGCAAACATGAATCTTATGAATGTTACTTTACTCTCATATTTAGTTTGTGGGACTGCAGTTTATCGTCCCACCTGCCCACGCCTGCAATGAGCTTTCAAAATATGTCCTGCGCCGCACTGTTTTGCGTCGGGTCCCGCAGGTGCAGGGCTCTAACGCAGTGATTCTTAGCCATAGGGCCAGGGCCCAAAGTAGGGCCAAGAAACATCTCCTTGGGGGCCCCACAACCAGTACAAAATAATGCATTTAATATGAGATAGGGCCCCAGGTCAGCTTGTTCAGAAAAAGTCGGGCCCCAAGATTGAAAAGGTTAAGAACCCATGCTCTAACGTGAACCCCCTACAAAGAGCGTCTGCGTCAGTCGATGTGCACCTCTGAAATGTTCTAACTACGACTCAGTATGACTCAAGACAGCAGGGGAAGCGACGTAGACAATAAGGGCTGTGATTGGTCCTCTGCATACATTTCCTGTACTCCACTTTCCTTTCTTACATTATTACTCAATGTATATTGAATACATCGAGTAATAATGTGTTTAATGCAGCTTTGCGCACATTTGTTTACATTTTACAGAAACCAAACTTAAAACCACATGACTCATTTTCATAAAATATAAGCACTGAAAAAACAGTTCGCTCCTTGTGCTGCTGATGCGGTTCAGCTTCTGTCGGACTAAAGGACACGACTCAGTGCAATTTGTGTTTTCTCCGCGAGGCTCCTGACTACAGTCGCCATAATTCTGCGACAGTTTATTTTTATTTTTTTATTTTATGCATTTATTTTGGGCAAGTAATGATTTACATTTATATACAATGGGAACATATGACATAAGTGAAATCATAATAGAAATGAAAATAATAACAACAACTACTAATAACTATTATTATTACTATTTTGCCCAAAAAGGAGTCGGAAGAAGAAAACTTATTTAATCCCACCCCTACTCTTCATAATCTAACACAATGAGCTTATTTTGCGTTTTTCAGACATTTTGAATTAAACTATATGAACTATTTACAAGTGCAGACAAGAGTCACTGTTATAGTTCGGTAATATAACATAAATGTACCAACAATGGTAAAGTTAAGGAAACAGACAATGGTAAGAAACAACAAATACAAGTAATGTAACGGACTGCACAATCCATCAGGCGGTGCGGCTTTGTAGTTTACCAAAGTCGTACTAAAACATTTTGACATATTTTTGAGCGCCGTGTACCACATAAAATCGGTTCGAGGTCAGTAAGCACAACCAGGATGAACACGTAAGGCGCACTGTCGATTTTTGAGAAAATTAAAGGATTTTAAGTGCGCCTTATAGTCCGAAAAATACAGTAAATTAAAAAGAAAGAAGATTGCAGCTTTCCGTTATTTTCGGCAGATCGAAGTTACAACCAGCCGCCTGTAAGTGACATCGAAGACGCGATTAGAAAAAGCTTTGACATGGTTGTGAAGACGCTGCTTCTGAATCTACAATTTTATCACAAGCCCGGAGTCGGTAACTAAAACCGGAAGTCGTCACCCGCATGTTTCCAAACGTCTTCCGGTCAACGTGAATCGAGCCCGTTATGAATTCAAGCCATTTCAACCGATACTTTGCAGGTCTTTGCAGGATTTTAACGCTTCTGTTGTGTTCCTTTCTCTAATTTCTTCACTACTGAGCTTTTGTAAATGGACTTTTGGGTTTTAAATGTTACTGATTATAAGTTGCAGAGGCAGATCTTGTCTTTTCTTCGACAAACGTTTAAAGACTCAAAATGTAATGCTGAGGTCAAAGGTTTCCATAGTTACTACAGTGTTATTCGGTCGTATATATTCATGTTCTTTTTACATTTCTTGACGCCATTTGCTGCTATGATTTGGTCGATTTTTTTTTTGCTTTATTTCAATATTTCAGTGAGGAGGATATTTTCTTTTCCACACCGGTGATTTCTAAGCTGTAAAAACATAAAGAGAAGCGAGTTAAAGACAGAATTATCAGCCTTTTCCAGACGTTTCACTTTCCTGGCAAATTTTTTTCATACAGACGGGGGATATCGGTCTGGTCCCCGCTCCCTCCGTCACGTCTAGAGCCGGAGCCAAACACAGCCGTCCAATCAGATTTGTTTATTTCAGTCGCTGTGGTTACGGATCTGATGGATGTCCGATTTTTTATTTTTTTTTTTCTCAGTCATGAGTCTATTAAAATGAAACGTAAACAGCGAAATCCTCAAGTTTCTTTCAAATCGCGGGCTCTGATTCTGCGGTTTGCACGTCGTTTAAATAATATTAAGCGTCCAGAGATCAGATTATAATCAGATTTCGATGTGCGCGGAGCGAAGCCAGTGACGCATGAGAAACGAGGGAGCTGCAAACAAAATCAAACTTCTCTCGCCTCGGATTAAAAACGCGTTGTGTAACTTTTTTAATGGAGCGTCCGTCGAATGCTTTTCCCCGTGGAGATGTCGTTGCTTTGTCTGGAATGTTTCACAGCGTGGCATTAAACCTTTCTGTCTTCATGGAGACCAAACCAGACCAAGCTACAGGTCAGATCTGTGGAGAGGCGACCCCGCTCACAGTCAGAATGCATGTTTTTCTAGGTATTTTTGAGCTTTAAAACCACCTGTAATTCAATAAATGTAAAGTAGAGTTGTTTAAAGTCACACTGTGGAACATTCCAGGCAGAGCAATGAGCTATCCATAGAAACAAGCAGGTGACGGACCACCAACCAAAAAGTTACGCAGTGCACCTTTAACCGAGTCTAGTTCTTCGCTCATTGATTCTGCTGAAATCCGATTTTATTTTCCTTTTCTTTTTCCTCATAAACGTCCGTATTTGTTTTGAAACGGATGAACCATGTGTGTCCCTGATTGGCTAATCCACCTGTCAGTCACGCCCATCGGAATTCTGGGAGGTTCAACTCACATTTTCGTAAATTACTGAAAAAGTGTGATCCTTCTTGGACTAAAACGAACCAAAATGGGAATAATTCATTTCAGACACAGCGGTATCTGGCTCACAGGGGTTAAAAGTTTTGTCGTTAAAGGTGCATTGTGTAACTTTTCTGGTGGAGGGTCCGGACCAGACCAAGTTACAGGTCAGATCTGTGGAGAGGCGACCCCGATCACAGTCAGAATGCATGTTTTTCTAGGTATTTTTGAGCTTTAAAACCACCTGGAATTGAATAATACATGTAAAGTAGAGCTGTTTAAAGTCACACTGTGGAACGTTCCAGACAGAGCAATGACATATCCGTTGAATCAAGCAGGTAATGGACCCTCCACCGGAAAAGTTACGCAGTGCACCTTTAACCAAGTCTAGTTCTTCACTCATTGATTCAGCTAAACTTCGCTGGTGATTTTATTTTCCTTTTCTTTTTTCCTCATAAACGATCGTATTTGTTTTGGGACGGATGAACCATGTGTGTCCCTGATTGGCTAATCCACCTGTCAGTCACGCCCATCGGAATTCTGGGAGATTCAACTCGCATGTTTTGAAAAAGTGGAATCCTTCTGGGACAAAATCACTCATCAATATAAAACCATTTTGAATATTTAAGTGGTGGAGGGTCTGTCAAATGTTTTTCTCCATGGAGATGTTATTACTTTGTCTGGAATGTTTCACAGTACGGCATTAAACCTTTCTATCTTCATGGAGACCAAACCGGACGAAGTTACAGGTCAGATCTGTGGGAAGGCGATCCCGCTCACAGTCAGAATGTCTGTTTCTCTAGGTATTTTTGAGCTATAAAACCACCTATAATTGAATAAATATAAGGTCTGTCTGTTTAAAGTCGTACTGTGGAACATTCCAGGCAGAGCAATGACATGTCCACATAGAAACACGCAGGTGATGGACCCCCAAACCAAAAAGTTACGCAGTGCACCTTTAACCGAGTCTAGTGCTTCGCTCGTTGATTCTACTGAAATTATTTTTCCTCATAAACGGCCGTTTTTGTTTTGAGACGGATGGACCATGTGTGTCCCTGATTGGCTAATCCACCTGTCAATCACACCCATTGGAATTGTGGGAGATTCGACCATGACCAGACTCACGTGTTCGTAAAGTTTTGAAAAAGTGTGATCCTTCTGGAACCAAATCAAACAATGTTAAACCATCTTGAAAATGTATGTTGTAAAGGGTTCTTCAAATGTTTTTCCTCCATGGAGATGTTATTGCTTTGTCTGGAATGTTTCGCAGTACGGCATTAAACCTTTCTATCTTCATGGAAACCAAACCAGAGCAAGTTACAGGTCAGATCTGTGGGAAGGCGATCCCGCTCACAGTCAGAATTTGTGTTTCTCTAGGTATTTTTGAGCTGTAAAACCACCTATAATTGAATAAATATAAGGTCTATCTGTTTAAAGTCGTACTGTGGAACATTCCAGACAGAGCAAAGACACAGCCATAGAACCAGGTAGGTGACGGACCCCGGCCCAAAAAGTTACGCAGTGCACCTTTAACAGTCTAGTGCTTCTCTTATTGATTCAGCTGAAATCCATCTCTGATTTTCTTTTCTTTTCTTTTTTTTTTTTCCCAACATAAACGTCTGTATTTGTTTTGAGACGGATGGACCGTGCGTGTCCCTGATTGGCTAATCCACCTGTCAATCACACCCATTGGAATTGTGGGAGATTCGACCATGACCAGACTCACATGTTTGTAAAGTTTTGAAAAAGTGTGATCCTTCTGGAAGCAAATCAAATCAATGTTAAACCATCTTGAATATTTATGTTGTGGAGGATTTGTTAAATGTTGTTGCTTTGTTTGGAATGTTTCGCAGTACGGCATTAAACCTTTCTATCTTCATGGAAACCAAACCAGAGCAAGTTACAGGTCAGATCTGTGGAGAGGCGACCCCGCTCACAGTCAGAATCTTGTTTTCCTAGTGATTTTTGAGCTTTAAAACCACCTGTAATTGAATAAATGTAAGGAAGATCTGTTTAAAATCATACTTTGGAAACACCATACCTAGAAAAACAGGTGAGCGGGGTCGCCTCTCCACAGATCTGACCTGTAACTTGCTCTGGCTTGGTCTCTGTGAAGATAGAAAAGTTTAACACCGCACTGTCTTCCCGGAGAAAAGAATCTGACGGACCCTCCACCAGAAAAGTTACACAATGCACCTTTAACTACAATACACTGCAGAGATTTTTCTTTTTGATTGTTCACGAAAGAGGAAATTGTTCTAGAGGAAAGAAAGCTCAGCAGATTGTTTAAAAAAATAAATTTGCAGTGTTTTATCAGGTCAAAAACATAAAACATTTCTTTCTTTTTTTAGGTCTAGTCTGTCCGTTTCTTCACGTAACACACTAAAAACTCAACTGCGTTCTTTAACTTTCGCGCTTTCATTTTTGAGAGTGGCCTAATCGAACCTGACTGCGTTTTAAACTGTGCTTTGTAAAATATTACGTACGTTTATATCACTGCTTTTATTTCGTCGAGACTGTTGGTTTTAAATTGTTGCAGAGATTTCTTCTGTTACCGAACGCGACACGTACAAAGGTCGATTTCGATTTCGCGTTGTCCACAAGTTTTGCAAGATGATAGTGGAAAAAAAACGACGTGTGCGTAGCTTTTCGAGAGAAGAATCTGCTACCTGCTCGTCTTATTGTTGCTTTGCTTGGAATGTTACACAGTGTGGCATTACTACGTACCTCGAAAAGAAGAAAGAATGTGCGCAAATCAGCCGAGTACAAACGCAGGACCAAAAAAATTTAATTAAACAGAAATAATAGACGTCCACACACTGTTTTAACGCTCCCAACGTGAAATTTAATAGCACATAACGATATTCAGAAACTTTGTCTTATTAAATTTCACGTTGGGAGCGTTGAAACAGTGTGCGGACTTCTATTATTTCTGGGTTTTTTTTTACTTTAAACAGGGTTGCGTCCCCAAAGATTTGACTTCGAAACTGATGGGACACAACGGGGTTTACTGCAAATTTCTCTGATCTGGTCAAGATTTTAAAACTTATATCAGGTTATTCATCTTGTTTTTCAGATTTATTGTCGACTTACTAGTTCTGAGACGGTTTAATTCTAGTCCAGAGGTCGTTTATTTTAAGATAATTGGTCAAGTAAAATTATTTGTCCAAGCAGGAAGATAATTTCACTACTTTTAAGTCATTTTCGGATAGATTTAAGTGTTTCTGTCTTAAATTTTGGACAGGCTTTTTTGCAGTGTTGGGATGGTTGGTATAAATAAAATAGTGAAACGAGAGTGTAACATTCTCACGTCAAGATCTGTAGTGTGAAGAACCCCTCAGTCGTCCAGGTAGAATCCACGGCGAGGAGGAAATTCAGTTTGTCGACTGGACAAAAGTTAGTTTGTTGGAAGACGTTTCGCAGCTCATCCAAAAGCTGCTTCTTCAGTTGTGGTCAGACGCTGGTGGACACTTCCTTACATCTGCAGGGAGGAGCTAAATAACTGAAACTAACACACACACTTGTTTACAGTTTTTGTTTGTTAGTTCAGCCTATTACAGGGTGTGGGGTCTAATTAGCAGAACAATTCATGGCCATAATGAAGCTTCTCTGACCTTACAGTCAGTTACCAAATTAAAAAGTCCTGGTTTAGTCTTAGTTTAGTCCTGGATTAGATCAAATTAACCAAAAAAACCTGGTTTAGTCTTAGTTTAGTCCTGGTTTAGATCAAATTAACCAAAAAGTCCTGGTTTAGTCTTAGTTTAGTCCTGGTTTAGATCAAATTAACCAAAAAGTCCTGGTTTAGTCTTAGTTTAGTCCTGGTTTAGATCAAATTAACCAAAAAGTCCTGGTTTAGTCTTAGTTTAGTCCTGGTTTAGATCAAATTGGTCAAAAATAGACACCTTGGACATTTCTTGTATAAAACTGGGTCACATTGTGGTTTTGGATAAATCTGTTGGGACAAGGGACACAGGACTCAAAACTGGGACTGTCCCGGGGAAACAGGAACATCTGCTTTAATGTCACACTGTGGAACCTTCTAGACCACAGGTGTCAAACATAAGGCCCGGGGGCCAGATCCGGCCCTCCAAGACCTTTAATGTGGCCCTTGAGTGATTTTCTACTAAAATATTTTAACTATATTTTCATTAAAAAATATTGGTAATTTTCTGCGTCACTTAGCACAGCAGCGTTTCCAGCGTCTCTGTACGTGGCCCCTCCCACCAGAGCAGCACAAATGAAGACTTGTCTCTTTCCAAACGCTCTTAAAGGACGATCGTTTTGACTGTTGATCGTGACACACTCATCAGAAAAATGTCCAACATGAGAAAAGTGGAGCCGAGTGCAGGATTTTACAACTAAAATGGACTTATTCCTGTTTACATACAAGTTCATGTTAAAACATTGTGTTGAAATTGAATTTTTCTTCAAGTTTCAGGTTGTTCATAATATTATAATATTATAATAAGAAAGAGTTCATCAATTAAAAAAGATTTCTGTAATAGATTTGTGTTTCTCTGCACAAATATTTGAAGTTATTGTTATTTTTGGGGTTTATATGACATGAGTTTTCTGATCCGGCCCCTTTGGGATCAAAGTCGGTTGGATACGGCCCCCGGACCAAAATGAGTTTGACACCCCTGGTCTAGACAAAGCAATAACCAAGCAGGTAGCAGACCTTCCACCTGAAAGTTACTAAAATATAAAGATAAAAATATAAAAATAATCTCGTCTTTCTGAAGTTATCGTGAAAAAAATAGTGCAACTTTTTTATTTTAACTCAAACTGACACGTTTCTGTTGAGTGCAAAAACTTTATCCGGTAAATAATATCAGAATAATTCTCTGATAACAAGACGCAAAACTCGACACTGCAGGCGCGGTTGGCGGACTTCCTGTTCCAGAACACAGGCTCCAGGTTTTCTTGTCTGTTTTATACTGTTCATATTTTGTCACTGATTTACTAGTGATGCTTCCTTTGTGTCTTTATTGTGGATTGGAAATATAAATAAGAGAATGAAATAAAGTATGGATTTATGGAGCTCTGTCGTGGCTTTTCTGTTCTGTGTTTTAAGTATTTATCAAACTATTTCAATTTTAATCTGAAGAAAACAAAAATGTAACTAAGACTTTTGTGTCCTGAACTCTTTCCCCCATGACGACGACATTTGACGACGCCCCTTGTTTCCTTCATGACGTGTTTTGACGTCTATGCTGTGTCACTAAAGACGTGATTTGACGACCATTAGAGACGGTTTCGGTTTTTCCACATGTAAACAGTGTTGGGAAAGTTACTTTTAAAATGTATTCCCCTACAGATTACAGATTACATACCCCAAAATGTAGTTTGTAACGTAATCCATTAAATGATTTAAAGTGAGTAATGTAATCTGAATACTTTGGATTACTTGATTTGCTGTAGAGAAGAAAAGACGAAGATATCATCACATAAGACAATAAAAAAGTCCAGTCTTTACTTAACCGTATTAAAAATATTACACGGACCATGCAGCATGATTAGTCCTGTTAAATCTTGTTTTAGACCTGGTTTGGACCTGGTTTTAGACCTGGTTTTAGTCCTGGTTTTAGACCTGGTTTGAACCTGGTTTAGACCTGGTTTTAGACCTGGTTTAGACCTGGTTTAGACCTGGTTTTAGACCTGGTTTTAGACCTGGTTTTAGACCTGGTTTAGACCTGGTTTTAGACCTGGTTTTAGTCCTGGTTTTAGACCTGGTTTGGACCTGGTTTTAGACCTGGTTTTAGACCTGGTTTTAGACCTGGTTTTAGACCTGGTTTAGACCTGGTTTAGACCTGGTTTTAGACCTGGTTTAGACCTGGTTTTAGACCTGGTTTTGGAACCTGGTTTAGACCTGGTTTAGACCTGGTTTTAGACCTGGTTTGAACCTGGTTTAGACCTGGTTTTAGACCTGGTTTGGACCTGGTTTAGACCTGGTTTTAGACCTGGTTTAGACCTGGTTTTAGACCTGGTTTGAACCTGGTTTAGACCTGGTTTTAGTCCTGGTTTTAGACCTGGTTTGGACCTGGTTTTAGACCTGGTTTTAGACCTGGTTTAGACCTGGTTTTAGACCTGGTTTGAACCTGGTTTAGACCTGGTTTGGACCTGGTTTAGACCTGGTTTTAGACCTGGTTTAGACCTGGTTTAGACCTGGTTTTAGACCTGGTTTGAACCTGGTTTAGACCTGGTTTTAGTCCTGGTTTTAGACCTGGTTTGGACCTGGTTTTAGACCTGGTTTAGACCTGGTTTAGACCTGGTTTTAGACCTGGTTTTAGACCTGGTTTGAACCTGGTTTAGACCTGGTTTTACCTGGTTTAGACCTGGTTTTGGACCTGGTTTTAGACCTGGTTTAGACCTGGTTTTAGACCTGGTTTAGACCTGGTTTTGACCTGGTTTAGACCTGGTTTTGGACCTGGTTTAGACCTGGTTTTAGACCTGGTTTAGACCTGGTTTTAGACCTGGTTTTAGACCTGGTTTAGACCTGGGACCTGGTTTAGACCTGGTTTTAGAACCTGGTTTAGACCTGGTTTTAGACCTGGTTTAGACCTGGTTTGGACCTGGTTTAGACCTGGTTTAGTCCTGGTTTAGACCTGGTTTGGACCTGATTTAGTGTCCGGCAATGAGTGGAATTGCCAGGAAAAAAAGAAAAAGAAAAGGGATATAGCCTAAATGAGAAAACAGAAAAATCCCTCTGTGTAATCCATTTACTTCAACAAAGTAACTGTAATCCAATTACCACTCATTAAAACAGTAACTGTAACTGAATACAGTTACTCATAATTTGTACTCTGATTACGTAACTCCGGTACATGTAATCTGTTACTCCCCAACGCTGCAT